ACTAAGGAACTCTTGTCCCCGCTCTAGATGGCTGACAGTTGCTTCAGTTTGACTTTGTGGCTCCACTAGAGACAAGAGAAAAGCCCAGGAGGTTTGGAGTTAAAGAGAAGTTTTTACCTCCTGTCCTGACATGGATGTGACATTACACCCAATGTACCTGCTTCTTTCTTTGAACGCTGACAACCTGACTGACTCAGATGTTGATTTCAAGACTTTGGGTCTTGTGGAGGCAGAATGGAGAAGTGTTGTTAGGTGGGGATAAGAAGGCACCTCCGACCTAAGGCCTACACACCTGCTCCAGTTCCTGGGAGAAGGGGAGACACATGCTTGTTTCTGAAGTAGTAATTAGCTTCATTCTAAAGTTGACCAATGCCACTGTCCTTTTTGGAGAAGCAAAGTTACTCTTTCAAAAACAAAACAAAACAAAACAAAACACGCTCAACTCATCGGTTCCAAATGCAACATGAGTGGGGTCTGATTTCCTCCAGCCTCCAGACCCCCACCGGGAGGTCCTTCCTGCCCCATCCTGACAGCCCATTACCACCAAACCTGGGGACACGGGGCAGAATGCTGAGTTGGTGGACGGCTCTAGAGGTTGTTATTGCCACTCTGGAACCTGGGGAAATAGAGGCTATAAAGCTCACCACTGCCTCCTGGAGAAACAAGCTGCAGTGAGTTGCCTCTCAGGGTCTCTCACCCAGCACCTTGCCATTGCCCTCATTGCCAACAGGCTGCAGAGACTCATCTTCCAGCGTCTTTCACACTGCAGCTTGCCACTGCCTCCAGTGGTGGCAAACAGCATTGCCATGCCCTTCAGTGACTCTTGCACTGCAGCTCACCACTCCAGTGGTGTGAACCTGTACTGTCCTGCCTTCCAGCGTCTGGCAATTCAGCTCACAACTGCCTCCACTGGTCTCAAACCACACTGGCACGTCTTCCACCATCACTCAGACTGCAACTCAGCCCTGCCTCCAGTGGCAGAAATCCACACTACCTCTCCTTTCCATGCCTTGCACTGTATCTGTCCACTGCATCCATTGTTGGGAAGCTCCAGCAGCACATCTTCCAGTGTCTCGCCCACTGCAGCTCTTGGAGGCAAACTGAGCTGCCCCATCTTTCAGCATCTGTTGCCCTAGAGCTCAGAACTCCCTCCAGTGGTGGAAAGCTGAATGATGAGAGCTGCTTGACGGCTTGGCAGTGCAGAAGTCTTTTACTGGAGGCAATGCTGAACTGCATTGTGAGAGCTGCTGAGAGATGTGTCAGTGCAGCTTGCAGCCACTGGAGGCAGTAGAGAGTTGCATTGCGAGACTCTAGAAGAAATGGAAATGTTGGTTCCCGCCACTGGAGGCAGTGGTCAACTGCAGTGCAAGGGATGCCAGAAGGTTTTGCAGTGCTCCTTACCGCCTCTAGAGGCAGTGGTGAGAGACAGTGTGAGACCATGGGCATTGTGGCTTTGCAGCTTGTTGCCACTGGAGGCGGAGTAGAGCTTCAATGCAAGACTGCAAGAGTGGCCATGCAGGTTCCTACCACTAGAGGCTGTGGGGAGCTGCAGTGCGAGACTCTGGAAAAAGTGGCAGTGTCAGTTCCCACCATTGGAAGCAGTAGTTAGCTGCAATTCGAGACGCTGCAAGGACTGGCAATCTAGTTACCTAGCCCTGGAAGCAGTGGTGAGCTGCATAGTGCGATGTTGGAAGGTCAAGTCCTGTCGATTCTTGCCACTGGCGGCAGTTGTCAGCTGCAGTGCGAGAGATGCCTAAAGGTTTTGCAGTGCTGCTTATGGCCACTAGAGGCAGTGTTCAGCTCCAGTGCAAGTCCATGGCCAGCGTGGCAGTGCAAGTTGTCTCCACTGGAGGCAGTGGTAAGCTGCAGGGCGGGATGCTGCAAGGAGTGGCAGTGCAGTTTCCTACCACTGGAGTTAGTGGTGAGCTGCAGCGCAAGACACTGGTAGAAGAGGCTGTATCCATTCCTACCACTGGAGGCGGTGGTCAGCTGCAGGGATTCCTAAAGGGAATTCCTAAAGCCTTTGGATTGCTGCTTATGGCCACTGGAGGCAGTGTTGAGATGCAGTGCAAGAACATGGACGATGTGGCTGTGCTGCCTGTCGCCACTGGAGGCAGTTCTTAGCTGCCATGCGAGAAGCTGGAAGGAGTGCCAGGGACGTATCCTGCCACTGGAGGCAGTGGAGAGCTGCAATTTAGATGCTGCAAGAGTGGCAGTCTACTTACCTAGCAGTGGAAGCAGGGTGAGCTGCAGAGCAAGACGCTGGAAGAAGCTGTGTTGATTCTTGCCACTGGAGATAGCGGTCAGCTGTAGTATGAGGGATGCGGGAATGCTTTGCAGTGCTGCTTACCGCCACTAGAGGCAGTATTGAACTGCAGAGCAAAACAATGGATTCCATCACTGTGCAGCTTACCGCCACTGGAGGCAATGAAGTGCTGCAGTGTGAGATGGTAAAAGAAGTTGGAGTGCCGTTTACTGCCACTGAAGGCAGTGGTGAACGGTGCAGTAAGTGGTGCTGGAGACAGGACACTGTAGCTTGCCACTACTGGAGGCAGTGGTGAGCTCCAATGCGAGACGCTGGAAGAAGTTGCAATGCACTTTCAAATCACTGGATGCAGTGGAGAGCTACAGCGCAAGACCCTGGGAGAAGAGGCAATGTCGGTTCACGCCACTGGAGGCAAGGGTCAGCTGCAGGGCGAGGGCAGCCAGAAAGTTTTGCAGTGCTCTTTACTGCCACTAGAGGCAGTGTTGAGATGCAGGGCGGGACCCCAGGGATTGTGTGGCTGTGCAGCTTGTCTCCACTGGAGGCAGTGGTGAGTTGCAGTGTTAGATGCTGGAAGGAGTGGAAGTGTCAGTTACCCCCCGGACATATGAGATCTCAGTCCAAATCTCCTGCGAACTCGGGCAATTCTCATGAGATTTCTACCCACCTGGAATGGGTAGCATTGCATGGAATGTGGGATGTGGACCCCCTAGGAGTCTGTCCATTTCTTTCCTCTGCTTCTCCTTTACCCATCACCTCCTTCCCATCTCCTAGCCTCTGCTCCAGTGGCTCAACTGCCAATTGATGCCCGGTCTCACAACCTGAAACCTCCACCAATTCCCAAGGGGAGAACACTGAATTGGCCGCTGCTTGGATCACTCAGTGTAAGTCAAGAGAACAAGATTGCTTAAGAACACGGCATCACCAACTAGAACTGTGTATTTACAGTGTGCATATGTTGGGGAAGCAAAAAGGTGAGGAAAAAAAAAAAGGAAAAGGGGGGAGGTATTTATCATGGGATAGTTCCAAAGATAAAGAGGGCGCTGTTCCTTAAAAAAGAAAGGGGGAGCTTTCCAGATAGACTAAAAAATTTGTCATGTGCCTACAGCATCTTATTAGATGCTGGAAAGAAAAACATTTTGGTCTTCCAGATACATTCCAGGGTAAAAATTGATTCCTCCCGCGCACCCCCCCCCCCCAAGCAACTCTTTCATTGTGAGATGGGTCACTTGGTTGAGAAACTGACATTTTTTAGTTGTCTGTGACAATGAATAGAACATCACTTGGTTTGCTAGTCCATCACCTGGGAAGGTTTCCAGACTATAAATGCCTGAGATCCAATGATGCTGATAGTTTTGCTGATTCCCAGGCCTCTGTGGGAGATTTCACTTTTTGCTATTAGCTGAGGGAAATGTGTTGGTATTTCTACTTCTCCTCTGGTTAATTCTTCAGAGTCAGGAAAACTCAAAATCAGTCTATGACAAGGGCACAAGGAACATTTTGTTAGAAGGTCTGAGTAGCACAGTTGACATCTGCTCAAATGTGCTATTTCTTTTATTACTCATTATGAATTGGTCACCCACTAATTTCCCTTTAAACCTATCTATATTTAATTTATTTTTCTTGAGATACCTCTTTTGAGCAGTAGTAAGACGGGTAGTAGAGTCATAGATATTAGATCATCCTCTTATTAAAAAAAAAAAAAAAGCCAGCACCTGCATTTTGATATCATAGACCATAATATAATTTCTCAATTCTACCTCTAATGCGGTTAAGAGAATTTCTAATTAAAACATGAATAACAAGTTCTTCCAGGGCTACTTGAAGATCTTAGGCCAAAAGGCAACATTAAACAGTGTTTGACTCTAAGTTTAATTTCACATCCAATGTAGGGTCACTAAAAAAAGAAAAAAGGGAAAAGAACAACAACCAAAAAAGCAAGTTTTATATCTAAACACATAAAATTGAGAAGTAATATTAATTTCCAAGAATAAAACTTTGGTTATCTATAGTCATCTGGGAATAAGATTTTCTGCCTATATCCACTTTCTAGATAATAAAGTTAAGCATATGATGGGAATCTTTTCCAACTGTATCATATACTTCCTTGACTTTTTCTCAACAATTTAGCAACTGGGTTGTCTGTGCCAGGGTTTCTTGGGATTGCAGCGTGGGTAGAACTTCTGACCCTGCCCTAAATGACTCAGCCTGAAGTGCTTGCAAATGGCTTTGGTTTTGTAATCTCTTCCTCTGATATCGATTGAAGAATAGAAATTCCATCCTCTTAATTTGTTGCTTCTATCTGCTATTGCCTTGGGAGTATTGAAGAAAAAATCTTATTAACTTTATTAAAAAGTTGTTTTTTAAAGTCACTGAGTGAGGGAGTAGAGATACTAACTATGGAATTAAAATTCAGAGAATTTATGTCAGTTATCATCTTGATAGGTGTGCTCTGGAGGACTGAATTTACTCAAAGTCTAACCTTAAACTACGTGAGATATTACTGGTTACTAAATATAGATGAATGGCTTCCCTTTTCCTTTAGTGATTGAAGAATTCTAGAAGAAATATTCAAAATCAGAGGCAGAAAACCTGTGTGGTTTTTTTTTTAAGATTTTATTTACTTATTTGACAGAGATCACAAGCAGGCAGAGAGGCAGGCAGCGGGGGGCGGGGGGAAGCAGGCTCCCCGCAGAGCAAAGATCCCAGCACCCTGGGACCATGACCCAAGCCAAAGGCAGAGGCTTTAACCCACTGAGCCACCTAGGCGCCCCGAAAACCTGTGTTCTAATGACACACCTAGTTATAGAACTGAGTTCCATAAAGTAAAAGCAGACATAGTGAAGTCTATCGCATTGGGCCTGGTGAGATATAGAATACAGATCTCTGTTTCCGGCCCTATCGCCCGATAGTGGCATGGCTCTGGGTAGAAACTTGCCTTTTCATTGATCTCATTCCCTTCTTCTAATGAAAGGGAGTGCAACAAGATAAGCAATAAGGACCTTCTTGCTCCAAAAGCCATTATTTAACCTGGATACAATGCGTAGGATTGGATATTACCAAGCGGAATCTTTCCCAACTGTATATGATATGTAAGGGTAGTTGTGATACTATGAATAATGAAGTCATGGCTATAAGCACGTAGTCAAAAGGGAAGTAGGAACAGAATCTATGAGTCAACTTAAAAATTATTTACTCCAGGCGGTAGAATCCCAAAAGTGCTGTAATAATAATTCTTCTTGTAATTGATGCCACTTATATAATTTAAAAACTTAAGCTTCTTATGCCTAAGTACTTAATTACTCATGCTTTTCAAATTAAATGCATATGTATACATGCATATATATGTTCCCCAGTCTATAAGAATCCCTTTAAAAAATTCTGGAACTTAAAATTATATCTTTGGATTTGCCAATTGAAATTGAGTTGGTTGTGGATCCCTCTGTTGAGAAACTTGTCCTGTGTTTACTTGGGTGCCATCATCAGTTAACTCTACTTTTGGGATCAAAACCAAAGATAAGATCTATGGTGGTGAAGAAAATATAAAACTCTTTGGTGGACTTGACTGCAGGGCAAGCAGGACAAGAAAGAAAGAGGTCTAAGGACTAAGAGTACTGATCTCCGACCTAGAAATTGTAAATCCAGTTTCCTTCAAGAAAGACCTTTTACATGACAAAGGCACAGTCCAATTACACGGTTAGGATTCATTTGCATTTCTCCTCTTCAACTTGATCCAGATGCCATTAGTTGGACGAAGAATCAGCTCTCCTGCTAGACCAAGTTCTTCTCTTTTCTGGTTGGATTCTACCCAAAAATGCCTCAGGATGCAGGAAAGAATGCTCTTTTCTTCCATTATGGCAAATTTCTGACCTTCAAATTAATGTAAATAGCATTACTTTAATTACACGTATCTCTCAAATCTGAGAAATCACAGGTCCTATTAGAGGAAGCAAGCAATTTCATATTTTCACAGTAGGGACAATCAGAATCACTGGGGATGTTTGTTAAAAAGGAAGATTCTTCAGTTCCCTTCTCTGCTCCTACCCAGTGCATCTGAATAGGTCGGATGAGGTAGGTATCTGTATTTGAGCAATATCCCAGAAAAATTCTGGGGTCACTGAAGCATGAGAATCACTACTTTAGATGGCTTTCTTATTGGGCCTTTAATTTAATTTACTATAGAGTCACTATATATGTTTCAGATTTCTCATTTAAATCTGACCTCATTTTACTAACACCTGCATTTACATGGATGATAAAATGCTGGAGATCCTAAGGTGAAAGTGTTTATAATACATGGTGATGTGCATTCATTTTGGTTAAGTAATTCAGCCGGCCATATGGTGAGCATTCTTTGTTTTCATCTTGCATGATGCAATTCTTAGAGCAACAAACACAGATATTAGGTTAAATACAGCTAATCATTACAAATAAATTTTCCACCATATAAAATATATTCTTTTTTGGTCTAAAATCGACATTTTAAAAGTACCATGTAACTGATTGTGTTTATGTTATGGGCTGAACTGTGTCCCCCCCACCCCCACCCAAATTCATGTGTTGAAGCCCTAACCCTGTACCTTGGAATGTGGCTGTTTTTGCAGATAGGGCTTTTACAGAGGTTAATTAACTTAAAATGAGGTCATATGGATGGACCTTAATCCAATCTGAATGGTGTTTTTATTAAAAGAAAAAAATCAGGGTACCTGGGTGGCTCAGTTGGTTAAGCATCTGCCGTTAGCTCAGGTCATGATCCCAGGGTCCTGGGATCAGGCTCCCCTCTCACTGGGGAGTCTGTTTCTCCCTCTACCCGTCCCCCCCTACTCATGATCTCTCTTTCTCGCTCTATCTCAAATAAATAAAATCTTAAAAAAAATAAAATAAAAATAAAAAGAAGAAATCAGGACACAACACACACAGGGAAGACCCTGGGGAGATACAGGGAGAAGACAACCATCTACAAGCCAAGCTTTAGAAAGGGCCCAGAAAAAACCACCGTGCTGACACCTCGATTTCAGACTTCCAGCTTCCACAATATGAGAAAATGATTATCTGTTATTTAAGCCACACAGTTGGTAATATTTTGTTATAGCAGCCCTAGCAAATTAATCTACTTTATGATAGTCTTTTTTGGAACAGTAATGTATAGTGAGGGGGAGGAGAAAAGAAACCAGTTTTTTAAAAGACTGTTGCCTGTGAGACACTACAGCTCAAAGAAATTACTGTGAGAAATGCACTACTACGTGGGCTGGAAAGGTGAAACCAATTCTGATGGATACAAACCAATACAGTTTCTGGGTCCCGCAGAGAAGGGCACATATGCGTACGGATGGCGTCCTTGCAGATTCTCAGGAAAGAACCTCTTGGGCTGGAACTCCTCAGGATTTGGGAAGTATCTTGGATCTCTATGCAGTGCGTAGGGAATGATGATGACTTGAGAGCCTTTCACAATTTTGTAACCCCCTGTCAGGAGGTAGGCAATATGCCATAAGAATGGAGTAAGGTGGACATTAAAAAATCCATTCTACCTGCTCTTACAGAGTTCTTACCAACTTCACAATCTTCATTAAGATTACGAGCGAATAAAGGAACAGAAGGAAAAAGGCGAAGGCTTTCTTTAATGACACATTCCAGGTATTTGAGTTTCTTCAGGTCCTCTAAGGTGGCAGGACGATCAGACTTCCCTGGTTAAAGGAAATACATGAGATGACAATGAAAGAACTCTGTGGGCTTGGGGAATGGGACATCCAAGAGGAATTAATCAAAGCACCAAATGTTAAATACTTACAGCCAAAGTAGGATTTCTATTACACATAATCAAAACAAAATGAGACGTATTAGGTGAAAGAAAGAAAGACACGAAAGGTCATGTATTGTATGATTCCATTCATAGGAAGGGCTCAGAACAAGTAAATCCATAGAGACTGAAAGTAAATTAGTGGTTGCCAGGGGCTGGAGGAAGAGGGAATGGGGTATGGCTGATTAACAGTACAGGGTTACATTTTGGGGTACTGAAAATGTCCTGGAATTAGATAGAATAATGGCTGCACAACATTGTGAATGCACTAAATCATACACTTTAAAATGGTTAGTTTTGAGTTCTCAGACAATCCAGATATACATCTTCTCTTGGGTCGGATTCTTGGACTCTCTCCCCAGCATGGCCCCTAAAGGCCTTTCGTGCCTGGGTCAAACAAAGACGGGGAGATTGTCTCCTGCTTCCAGGCCAGAGGAGACATCAACCTCTCTGGACTTGCCACAGAAAGAAGAAGAGCAAGGAGCAAATGAACATACTGATGAGGTACAAAATGAAATAGATGGACTTAAGGAAAAAGCCAGTGAAGAATTTTGAAGTGATAACAGAAATATAACAAACGCCCCAATCATGTTTCCAAAGGAGGATGGAATTGATCATCCAAATCCCAAATTCTGGAGTAATAGCATCTGTCAACCACTCACAAATCTGCTACTACTTGGAGAGGAAGACGAAGAGGCATTATCTGACCAGAGTCGAAGTGACCAAATTTGAAGATATTAAATCATTATAGAATAGGTGTTCATTTTGATAAAAACCCTTCCTTCAAAAATAAAGTTCTCTCCAGAGAATTTCATCTGGATGAGAGTGTGATCCATCTTCAAAGCCTACTGAAATCAGATGGAAATCGGAAAGGATTTGAAGAGATGCTCCAGTCAAATGCAAAATAAAGGCAGTGGGAAGAGGGAGCATGAGAAACCAGAGAGCTTCTTTTTCTGGTTTACTGGCCATCCTGATGCAGGCACAGATGAGTTAGGAGAGGACATCCAAGATGGTATTTGGCCAAATCCGTGACAGTACATATTAGTTCCTGACATGAATGATGAAGAAGGGGATGGAGGAGAGGAATATACTAATGAAAACGGGAATGGGAATGAAGGAGAAGATGAGGAAGTGGGGGAGGTAGGAGATGGAGGAAATGAAAAATGGAAGACTGATGGAGTCCAATCTTCTTGTTTTAATTTTCTCCAGTCCCCTTGTGCTTGGTCATGCTATTCTTGAAATCTATCTTCTCTCCTTTACACCATGGGTCTCAACTTATTTTGGGGGGCAATTTGAGCACAATACACTGGGAAGAGAAACGCTACCCTTTTCTATTCCAAATTTATTCTAATCCCTTTCTGTCTCAACCAAAACTTCATATAAACAACACTACTGTGCTCTCTGGGGGACAAAAAAACAAAACAAAACTAAACAAAACACAACAAACAAAACACCCCATCTGCTCCCTTAGCTCTGCTAGAAGATGGAGAGTGCTTGGTTCCCATGTGTTGGTGCATAGAATTCTAGCTTTTCTCCTTTTCCTCAATATTGGGCTCAGATATTACATGTCTTTATGTGAATATGGACAGTTAGCATTTACCAACATGTATATGTCTACTTTCTTGTGTTTTTATTTACTTCTTTTTAAATGGGTTTCTAGAAGATCAGAGAAGGGTGGGTTAGAGATCTCTTGGTGAGAGATGAAGTGGGCATCTTTATAGCATAGTTTCTCCTTTGGCATGTTTAATTGTGATGTTTAATGGGCATCCTTGAAGTTTAGGATGACACTTTAGAAATAAAATCCTCTCCTCATGACTTGAGCCCTACCACTGGATAGGAGACTCAGCAAGCCTATAAGAACTTATCTGGAATTGACATTCTCTAGTGTAATTTTGTTCCTGTTTATTTTTAAATTTTCTTTTTGTTTCACTGGGTGGGGGGGAATGGTCAGTTTTAAACACTAACAGTGTACAAGTTGCTTTGTTATAAAACAACTAAACAGACACAAATAAATGTTAATTTTATGTGTAACAGGAGGAATTAAAACTTGCAACTTAATGCCCAAAGATTAGCTGCTCATGAAATTTTAGAGCTAATACTAGGGATAGAAGAAAAAGTGAGGCACCATCACAGAAAACAGGAGCAGCACCAGAATAAAGCATCTAGAATAACGACATTTTAATTATGTGATATCAAAAAGTTTTTGTGAGACCAGCAACAAGTGAGACATTGTAGAGTATACAAAATGTGAACGTATCCACAAATAAAGTGTGAGTTTTTCAAAGACCAGATGAACTCACTGTAAGCAATATGAGAGAAATTAAAATCAATACAGAAAGAACCAAGATGCCGTTCAACGGACGAATGGATAAGGAAGATGTCCATATACACTATGGAGTATTATGCCTCCATCAGAAAGGATGAATACCCAACTTTTGTAGCAACATGGACGGGACTGGAAGAGATTATGCTGAGTAAAATAAGTCAAGTAGAGAGAGTCAATTATCATATGGTTTCACTTATTTGTGGAGCATGACAAATAGCATGGAGGACATGGGGAGTTAGGAGAAGGGAGTTGGGGGAAATTGGAAGAGGAGGTGAACAATGAGAGACTATGGACTCTGAAGAACAATCTGAAGGGTTTGAAGAGGTGGGGGGGTGAGAGGTTGGGGGAACCAGGTGGTGGGTATTAGAGAGGGCACGGATTGCATGGAGCACTGGGTGTGGTACAAAAACAATGAATACTGTTATGCTGAAAATAAATTTTAAAAAATGATTTAAAAAAATCAATACAGAAAAAAATAAAATGACGACAGAAGCAGAGTGAACAAGTTTAGATTGTCTCCGTTCTACAAAATAAAAGTCTTCCCTCTTGGTATGAAATTCCAGTTCTCACATCATATGAACACAAAACAACTTGTCCAAACTCATCTCTCAATATGTTCTACTATAGGTTCTAAATCCTAGCTGCCCCTCACTATTCACTACTGTCTTCCAAATGTTTCCATTTCCGTGCCATTGTCCATCTGTTCTCCTCATTCTAGAATACCTGACCTCTCCTCCTTTTACCTTTATTTTTCCCTTCCTACTTCTTTTCTCCATGCAACTGTATCAGATACCACTTTTTTGGTTGGCTGCACCAATCTTTTATTTCCTCCTCCCAGCTTTAGGAGCCACGTGATGTGTGATTAAACAAAGGATAAAATTGATGGCACAATGCATGGCCTCTTTGTGGTCGGCCAGCGATGGCCTCTATATGTGTCAAGTACTAATCCCAGGACCTATAAATATTCCCTTACTTGGAAAAAGATATCATTGCAGATTTGATTCAGTTAATGATAAAAAAATGGGGAGATTATCCTGGATTATACAGGTGGGCTCTGAATGCCACCACAAATGTCTTTATAAGAAAGAGGAAGATCTCTCTCTCTCTCACACACACACGCACACACACACACACACACACACACAGGCACACAGGAGAGCAGGTAGTGTAAAACATAGAGGCAGAGGTTTGATGGACCATAAATCAAGGAATGCTGCCAGGCACCAGAAGTGAGAAGGAACAGAGTGCCCGCTAGGCTTCCAGAAGGAGAACAACCTGCCAGCACATCAATTTAGGCTCAGCAATACCGATTTTGGATTTCTGGAGTTCAGAACTGTGGAAGAATACATTTCTGTTGTTTTAAGCCACCCAGCCTATAGAATTTGTTATAGCCCCCCCAGGAAACTAATACACCCTCCATTGCCCCTCCCTCTTTCCTCTAGTCTTGAAGACAAACATGAGACCTAGAACAACAACCAAGAAGACAAAAGCCACGATGGCAAAGAAGAGAGAGAAAAAAAGAGCAAGACTGGGCCTCTGACAACATCTCTGTTGGCTTCCGCCTAGGACTCCTTACTTATACTCTTACACCTTGTATACCCAGCTACACAAGCAGATTGCTGGTTGTGTAATTGAAATGTATGTCCACCAGCTTAACCCACCTTTCCTCTCATTTGTGGCCAGACGCAATCCAATATGGAACAGCTTTCCTGGACGCCCTCTAACTAATATCACCTGTTCCTTGCTGCTCCCAAAGAGCACCTTCTTCCTATCACTCAAGTGCAAAGCCAGGTTTCCATGCACAACAGCTGGTTCATCTACTAAGCAGTGAGGTCCTCAGAGACAACAGCATTTATCTGTGCGTCCCCAGCACCTAGCCCAAGGCAGTCACACGCCAGGCAGTTACGCAATGCCTGTAAGTCAGCAGAAGAGGCCTTCCAAAGGAGACAGTACTGGAAGGGATCCCACAGGGGGGCTTTCCTGCTTATGACGGTGTCTTTACAATAGGCCCTACTGCACATCCTTGATGAGTGCTTTCAGTGGAATTTGTTTCAGTGGACTTGGGACCCACGGAGCAGCTAATGATGGGGTCAAACATACCAAACACTTCCTCCAGTTCACTGTCCACTTGTTTCTGGACTTCTGGGTAAGAACCCAATAGATACAAGGACCAGTTTATTGCCGCCGCTGTCGTATCATGGCCCTACAAATGTGAGAAGAAACATGGCTTAAAAAGCAGAGTTATATCAAGAAGATCAGGAATGATGACTCTATTCTGAATTGTCTCTGGATCTAACAGCTGCAATGTGACTCCAGAACATATAAGTTCATTCCACACAGCATCTCACCTTGGTGAGAAGCAAACAGATAAAATAATCCCTTCAAGGTGGAGATTCGTGCTTAGAGAGACATTTCTCTGCTACATGGAGCTGTCCACCTGGTGAGAAGTGGTTCACTGTGCTGATAAGGGGCATTCCCAGGAACGGGGCACACCAGGCAGTTTTGAAGGGGTAAAAGTCCAGGGGTGCCTGGGTGGCTCAGTCAGTTAAGCATCTGCCTTCAGCTCAGGTCATGATCCTGGGGTCCTGGGATCGAGTCCCAAATCAGGCTCTCAGCTCAGTGGGGAGTCAGCTTCTCCCTCTGCCCCCCTTCTCCTGGCTTGTGCTCTCTTTCTCTCTCTCTGAAATAAATAAATACAATCTTTAAAAAAAATAAAGGGGGGAAATGTGTGATTTTTATGAGCCAGCTTTGCCTGATCTGTACTTCTCTACTTTTCCCCACTTGCAAGTTAGGTTTTACCTGTCCATGTGGACACGAGGCAGTATCTATGCAGTTCTGAATATTCTCATTGCAAGGAATTGATCAATAGCTTCATATAACATGTGCTGAGTTCCAGACAAAACACTAAGTACTTTGCAGAAACCAACAGAACTGTTCTTCACGAAAACATCATGAAATACTTGATACTGTTATTCACATTTTCGAGATCAAATACTGGAGGCTGAAAGTCCTATTTCATTTTGTCTGCTACCCAGAGAAAGCAGGATGAAATGAAACAAAGCACGGAATTTACCGGAGCACACTGCTGGGCTGGGGGAGGGGCAAAAACCTTCCTATCCAGTGCCTGGCAGCCAGGCAATGGAAGGCCGGGCACTGAGAGCCTGCGGCTCCCTTAGGGAGGAGATCTCACTATTACAGTCTGGGGCATGCCTCCTATTCCATGCAAAGAAGAAAAAAACTTAGGATTTCAAAGAATGTTAAAACTGGAAGAAAGAGAACATTCACAGGTCTGCTTGTTTTCATGGTGTGCGAGGTCACTGGTGGGAGATGGGTGTGCGTGTGCCATATACAGGTACGTATGTGTAGGGATAGGCACGTGGATGACAGTGTGTGTGTGTGTGTGTGTGTGTACATGTATGTGTAAGTGCATGCGTACGCACATATGTGTGCAAATGGGGTGGTGATGGGAGAAGGTCTCTCCCCTTCGACATCAAATAACAGCCAATATCTGCTACATACTTCCTACATGCCAGGCACAGTTCTTGGGACACTTTAAAAAGTTATTGGTCTAATCTACAAGCCCCGTGCTCTGACAACGAGGCTGCTGACACCCAGAAAGCCTGGATGAGGGGCCCGAGGTCACACCTCTAGGATGGGTTATGGCTGGGACTTGGCCCCAGAGCCCACATGCTGAAATCCTCTCCACTTTTTGGCTAAGTAGATGTCCATTTTCTGCATAACATTTCTTTTCAGTAAAGTGCTCTACTTAAAGAAGAGGTTTGAAATCACTGCTCTACGCCATCTCTCTATTTTACGCAGGAAAGCTGGGACAGAGATCGGGGATCTCATAGGGCCAGTATGAACCAGAAGGAGAAACCAAGTCGACAGAAGCTTAACGCCACCTGCTTCCTGCTCCAGGGCGCTGACTGTCCTCCCTCAGGAAAAACAGACCGACAGACAAGTGCTAGCATCACATCCCGACGGCTGCAGGCAGAGCAGCGAACACACCGTTGAGCATATGCTGAGCCATCGAAAACTCCTGATGCCGTCTGCTTTCCTCCACTTCCAAAATAGTACCACGTGGTGCTTAAGAAATATTTCTTTATTTGGCAAGCCACGTATTGACACTCACTCCTTGTAATATTTAATATAGTTAGAATTATCTCTGTAAAAAGTGCATCTTTTATTATTACTATTATTATTTGAAGACCACAATTTTTTTTAGAATCACAAACTGCTTAAATTCTCGGGAGGACTCTGCTTTCTCCTTCAGCTGGGGCAGCTCACGGCAGCAGCTAAGTACTCATGGGTAGAGGCAGGAGGAAGACAGACTTCTTTAAAAGAAGCTAGTGAAGAAACAGACTCATGGGTTTTAGAGATGAAAAGGAAGTGTGAAGCGATGTAGAGAATGGACAGTAATTTCTGGCTGCTCTTCTGCTCGGGAAAGTCTGATAGACCTTAGATTTTTTTGAGGGAAAAAAAAATGTATCTACTCTGTATCTACTCTGAAACCACCATGAATCAAAGATTTTCTGAACAAGGAAGTTGATCTGATACTTAATTGTAAAATTAATTATACTTATACTTAATTATAAAATTAAATTTTATAATCTTTAATGCTAATCTAATGATTCTTCCTTAATTATATGAAGCTACTTTAAAATTTCATTAGGGGCGCCTGGGTGGCACAGTCCATTAAGCATCTGACTCTTGGCTTGGGCTCGGGTCATGATCTCAGGGTCGTGGGATCGAGACCCACAGGAGGCTCCATGTTCAGTGTGGAGTCTACTAGGATTCTCTCTCTCCCCCAGCCCCTCCACCCCCACTAAAATAAATCTGAAAAAAAAATCTTTAAAATAAATACATAAAATTTCATTAAACTTCTGAAAATAATGTTAAAGATTCTCCAAAAAACCTGAAATTTATTTAAAGGTATCGGAAAATAACACGATGACATAAAATACCTCAAACATGAAAGTGTCAACTTCTTCTCGAACATCTTCATGACTTAGCGTGTTCCCTTCATCATCAGTCACATTTAAAAGCAAGTCAAGGAAAGCCCTGCGTTTATTTTTGGAAGATGAAGAGTCCTTGTCAGCACTTCTGTGTTCTTCGTCTCTCCTCATTTCACTGGTCCGTTTAGCAATGACCTATGATTTAAACAATCACATGCTTTTGTTTGGAATTTATTATAACCTAACCATACGCCTTCCTATGGAAATATACTAGCTTCTTTAACTTATTTTTTTCTAAACCTTTCCTATTCCTGCTATCGCAGTAATAACTTAGGCTCTTGTAAAAATACAGTCAAGTTTCCTGATCAATTTTAGGGCATAATTTGATAAGACTTCGAAAGATGAATTTAATGTCAGGCAACCTTAGAATTTTCGAGGGCTCTTTTTATAATCTTTCCAATGGGGTACAGCCTAATCATCTCTAGAGGTCTGAGTGAGCCAAGGAGATAAAAGTGTAGGTGTGGAGAGAACGCAGTCCTTGTATGGTAGATTCAGGACCCATCACTGTAATTACATGTTGTACTGGAAAAAAGAAATAGCAAGTTGATGGTCGTTCACCTGTTTGCTTGCTGTTCCTTCTGGCGAGACTACTCCTTCCTCCGCATGGCTGGCTCCCTCCTTTCTTTCAAATCTCTGCGCATCATCACACTGTCAGAAAGACCTTCCCTGATCCCTGTGACACTAGTCCCTAGCACTATCTTCCCAAGCCTGCTTTATTTTTTCCCATTTCCCTGGCCATCTGGCATGATGTTACACTTTGTATTTGGTGTCTTTCTCTTCTAATTTAAATGTACGACCCACATGGAAGCAAATTTGTCTTTGTTTACTGATGTATTTCCAAACTCTAGAACATGGCCTGGCATTTTGAGAACGTTCATTATTTGTTGAATGAATGGAAGCATGAAAGCCACCAACTCAACGTTTTTTTCTCCTATCAGGCAATTGACTAAACCGAGTGGTTTGAATGAATAGACCCCAAGTTCTTTGAGGGCAAGATGTCCTGATGGAACCCTTGGTGCTTCAGATTCAGTATGCAATTTTCAATATTTAGTAACTGAATAATACTGTTCATCTGGTTTGGAATTCATTAATTATTGATGCTGATATTCATGCATGAAATTTGAGGAAAAACTCAATTGTATCCATGAAAGACAAATTGTTGGCCAGTCTCCTAAGCCAGGTGATTGTTCTAGACTCGTCTTTAATGCAGACTGATATCCTATATCGGAAAACAACATCACTATCTCTTTGTTAGTTTTGAATTGGAAATAAGATAGTAATATCCAGTTAATTTTTATCTTTTCTGAGTTGAAATACTACCAAAAAGGCCCTTTGCCTTTGAAAACTGTCTATTCCAGACATTTTCCCAGAAGACCCTTATAATCCTCATCTCTTTATTCTCTTAATACAGTGCCCTATTAATAACTATTCACAGTTCATATTGCATTTTGTCATTTTTTAAAAAAGATTTTATTTAGTTATTTGACAGAGAGAGAGATCACAAATAGGCAGAGAGGCAGGCAGAGAGAGAGGAGGAAGCAGGCTCCCCACTGAGCAGAGCACCTGATGCGGGGCTCGATCCCAGGACCCTGGGATCATGACCTGGGCCAAAGGCAGAGGCTTCATCCACTGAGCCACCCAGGCACTCTCATTTTGTCTTTTTTTTTTTTTTCATTTTGTCATTTTTTAATAGATAACCTCTGTTACTAAACAGAACTTTTTAGTACATACAGGTACTAAACATACAGGTCCTACTCATTACTACATTTCTTTTTTTTTTTTTTTTAGGATTTTATTTATTTATTTGACAGACAGAGATCACAAGTAGGCAGAGAGGCAGGCAGAGAGAGAGGCAAGGAATCAGGCTCTCTGCTCAGCAGGGAGCCTGATTCGGGGCTCAATCCCAGGACGCTGGGATCATGACCCGAGCCAAAGGCAGAGGCTTTAACCCACTGAGCCACCCAGGCGCCCCTCATTACTCTATTTCTAACACTAGGTAAAGCATTTGGCACTTAGCAAGTGTTTAATTAATATTTACTAAATACAGAATTGAAATCTAATCATGTTGCCTATTTTTTTCTATTATTCCATTCAAGTTTTATAAGGCACAGGCTCCACGGTCCTGCACTGGTTATATTCACAAAACACAAAAATCATGGATTTAAAAAAAAAGTTCTAGAAATGGACAGTGGTGATGGCTGCACAGCATTGTGAATGTATTTACTGCCACCAAAGGGGACCCTTCAAATGGCTTTAATGGCAAATTTTTATATTATGTATCTTTTACCACGACAAAAAAATAAATTGAGGACTTACATTATTGGTAAAATTATGGAGGACCTCTAGGCTCCTTTTGTGTTCCCGCCCTTCTTTGCACATGAGAAACAGAAAGTCAAGCCAGAGCCAGGGCGCCTTCATTCTTCGATGTATCGAATCACTCATTCTATAAACAGGATGAAAAGACATCAGCTGATGCATGAGAAATGTGTATTTCTTTAGCACCTCTTTGGTGCCTGCTCTCAACAAGAGTAGTATATGGAAATGAAGATGATCTGTCTTAGAGGCTACTAAGAGCTCCGTGCTTTACACTCAACATGAATGCATGGGCTTTTACATGTCCAGGGAAGCTTAACATTTTAATGGTTTCATTAGTGGAAGGAAGAATTCCTTACAGAACATCCTTACTAGGTGGCCATCTGATGTCTGCTTTTGTTTCTTCAGAAAGAGTTCTGGACCTCCCAAGGCTGCTGTGGCTCTTGGATCGCACACTGGGAGGCAATCTGCCTCTTTTTAATATCCTCTCATTAGCTTGATCATTCCTCTGGAGTGAGAGGACATGAGCGGTTGCCCTCTTCCAGAGAGAAGTGCTCACCAAGCACCCAGGTCTCACAGCTGTCCCGAGGACCTCCCTCGTCATTTCCAGTGATAAAGAAGCAAGACCTCAACAGGTTCTTTGGGATGGACTTAGACACCTGTTCTTCAGAGAGGTGTTTCCTGAGAGTCATCCATTGGACATATCCCTGTTTTCCTTTTCCTTTCCTTTTCTTTTTTTTTCTTTTCTTTCCTTTTCCTTTTCTTTTCATCTCTTCTTTCTTTCTTTCCTTTCCTTCTTTCTTTATTCCTTTCTTGAGAGAGAAACAGAGAGAAAGAAAGCTCGAGCAGAGAGCAGAGGGAGAGAAAGAATCCGAAGCAAGCTCCATACTCAATGCAGAGCCCCCATGAAGGGCTTGATCTCACAACGCTGAGATCGTGACCTGAGCCAAAATCAAGAGTTGGACACTTAATGGACTGAGCCATCCAGGTGCCCCCACCCCCCCAATGTCAACTTGATCTTTTCTTTCTAAGCAATTATTAGAATTTATGCTAGCACTCATTACAGTGTGTGTCTCCCTGCTATTCTTCCTGTTTGTGTGCTGCGATAAAACTAGTCAGCACTTAGAGCCATGAATGGCCGGTGACAGATGCTCAGTAAATATTTATGAAAATAAAGTGAAATGAGAAGTGAACTTAAAGATAGGAAACATCAAATCAAATCTTGGCCCTGACTCTTACTCGTTGAATACCTGCACTCCATTTTTAAAGCAAAATTGATTATTTCAATGAAAAAATAATATATACTCAGAGCAGAAAATATGGGAAAGGAGAATAAACAAAGGAACAACAAAAAAACCCAAAGCACTGTAAGAAAGAGAAGCACACACACAAAACAATAGTAACCACAGATAATATTTTGGTATAGTATCTTCTAGTTCTTTCTTTCTATAAATATTTTTTATACCTACTGGTAATCATACTAAAAAATTATTTTTATCTTTATTATTTACATCATAATGTAATTTTTCAATATATTATAAAATCATTTTAAATTATAGCATAATCTGGGTGTGTCATCATTTACAAAACCATTCCTCTCCTGGCCACATACATGCTTAAATGACTAGGTCAATTTTAGTATCAAGTTTTATTTTGAAACAATGAAAAGATTAATAATTAATTAATAATTAATAATTATGAATAACTGCAGAAATTATTAGCACTAATTTTTTAAAAAAATTTAAGCCCTAATCAGTACCCATTTTAAAGATAATTAAAAGGACTTCATTTACCTATAAACTGCACGGACATACTCGGAATCATCATTACTTTGAGCACCAATATTCTTCCCCATAGCTGTTTCTGCAAAACAGGGGCAAGAAGCAACCACTCAATTTGAGCACATATCCTGTTTATTTTCCAGGGGCAAACACTTAAAAAAAATGTCATAAGTCCTGTTCTGTTCTCATAGATTTTAAAATTGTTCTCTCCTCCTTTTGCTTCTTCTCTTGTATCTTCTCCTACTCCCTGTTCCTGCTCCTTCTTCCCTCTGCCCTTCTAGGCATGGTGACTCTGTGACTGTCCTGCTCAGAGCCCTCACAGTGGCTGCTGCTTCTCAGGGACCTGAGCATTAGGACCACCCTGAAAAATCCAATATCCTTTCCAATCCCCTCATTCACCTTCCCACTGCAATGTTATTTTCTGTTTGGGCCATTCTATCTCTACACCATAACTTTAGAAACAAATCAGTGAGACTTACCACAAATTATATCTAAGGCACAAAGGGTGATGTAAAAAAAGCAGTTAAATGCTCCTTGGTTAACATGTTTTTCAAGCTTATGGACCAATATATTTGCTTGTTCATTCATGACATCTAAGAAATCTTCCAGAATTGTAAAATGGAAAGTGGGTGTTAACATTTTTCTCCTAGATCGCCATTTGTTTCCAGTACTAGAAACACAATACACGGTCACGAACAAAAGAGGCAACATTGGAAACAAACAAAGTATAAATTTAGCCGAGCCGAGCCAAGCCGACAATTAACCTATACATTGTCAAATGCTTCGGTCAGAAAGACAAAGGTTCATAGATAGCTACTGACTGTGCATTGTTTAGATATTATTCTATATTACTAATATTTAAAGGGGCACTCATAAAAATTGAAAATTCAAGAATTTTTCTAAATTTCCAAGTTCCAAGTTTCTAAAAATTAGAATTTTTTTCCTCCCCTCTATTAAAAACCTCAGTCCTCTGATGATCCCTGTGGTCCGTGATTCTACTTTGATCTCTCTTATTTTCAAATTCTCCACAGACCCCACAAAGGTTTTGCCTTTCTCTTGGCAGGCCTTCTCTCAGAGGATGGAGCCCTATGTCTGGACACAAGTTCCAGGATGGAGATTTTGTGCTCCATATTCTTCGCTGGGGCTGACTGCTTTTTTCACTGGATTTTCAAGATCTGCCTGCCCCAAACTCTCCTTTCCTTTCTTTTTCATACACCAGCATCTGACTCTTCTTGAAAGGCTGGTCATCATCATTATTGAGTCCCATGGCTGGAGATTACCACACCTGGACTCTTGTCTGTCAGAGCCCACTGTTCTCCACAACTTTCCTTCCAGTTTCTCCCATACTTCCTGGTAGCACAGTCTTGCAGACAGGAGAACTACTTTGTGTCAGTTCCTGACATAACAAATTACCTATCGGAGGAAATGTTTCTGTGAGATAGCTTTACAGATCTACAGTGACATACCTTGTAAGAAGTCCTAGGCCAAGCCACGGTTCCAGAAACTTGTACATATAAGATTTATCAATTTGCTTTGAACTAGTTAAAATTACCTTGGAAAGAGAAAAAAAAAATTGAGAGATATATAGACATCAAAACAATTTCAACTCAAAGTTGAATTCTACCTGGCTAGAACACTACTTTTTTTTTCTTTTTTAAAGATTTTATTTATTTATTTGACAGATAGAAATCACAAGTAGACAGAGAGGCAGGCAGAGAAAGGGGGAGGCAGGCTCCCCACTGAGCAGAAAGCCCAATGTGGAGTTCGATCCCAGGACCCTGAGATCATGACCTGAGCTGAAGGCAGAGGCTTTAACCCACTGAGCCACCCAGGCACCCCAGAACACTACTTTGAAGGTACATCTCATAGGGGTGGCTGGGTGGCTCAGTCGTTAAGCCTCTGCCTTCGGCTCAGGTCACGATCCCAGAGTCCTGGGATCGAGCCCCACATCGGGCTCGCTGCTCCACGGGAAGCCTGCTTCTCCCTCTCCCTCTGCTGCTCCCTGTTTGAGTTCCCTGTCTCACTGTGTCTCTGTCAGATAAAAAATAAAGGAACATTTCATAGCTATTATTTTTCTGTGATTCATTTTTATTCCTGTGCTTTAAAGGAAGTCAAGTCGAGTTTTGAACATGTAACTGTCATTCAGTCTTGGGACGAAATGGAGTTGAGAAAAAGGAAAATGTCCAAGATAAAGCTCTGGTTCTTACAATGAACTAGGAACCAAGTGGAGTCATTTATTGAGGGTGGGAGGATGGGAGAGAGAAGATAAATGAATCCAAAGATGACCATGTCCAAGGAGATAAAAATCAGAAGTTCATTTTTGGGCATGATGACTTGGAGACATTCGAGTTGCTATGGTCTGAAATAGGAATGATGCCCAGGATAAGGACTTGACCTAGAGGTACACATTTGAGTATCTCCAGCAAGTGAGTAACACTGAAACCCATGAATGTGATCAGATCACCTGGAATCCAGGTGAAGTAGAAGGGATGAGTCTTTAGGTCTGAGCACAAAATCCTCGCCAGGCTCCTAACTCTAGTCACACACTCTGGACAGATCTCTCACATACATACCGAACCTGCTCACACCAAGTCCGCAGTGGTTGAAATCCTACACCTGTCTCCTCACTACCTGTTCTGAACCAGGCTGGTACAGTGTGGTACAAGAGAAATCCAACATTTTCTCTGCAGTAACTAAGAAAGACATATCCCAGCATTAATGCCTAGGAAGTTATATTTAATTTTGTTTCAAGAAGCTCTGTTTATCCCATTCTTACTCCCTGACCCTAATCCTTTTCTCATCAAAACCACAAGAAAATCTCCCAGGTATCATAATGATAAGTAAAAGGTATACAATCATTTTGAGCAGTTATTTCAATAGCATGGATTAATGATATCTGCCCTATCAGTATGACAGGCACATTCTTTTTTAAGAAAATTAATGTGGAAGAGTAAACTCGTAATGGATCGGAAACTCTAATCTCTTGAGAAAAATACTCATACCTTATTAGTCTTATATTTTTGAACTCTTGAAACAGAGCCTGGCAGATAACATGCCCGTTCGCCTTATGTAATAACCTATTTGTAGTTCTATAAAACTATATCCTTATGGGGTGCCTGGTTGGCTCAGTTGGGTGGGCAACTGCCTTTGGCTCAGGTCATGACCTTGGAGTCCTAGGATCAAGTCCCACATCAGGTTCCCTGCTCAGCAGGGAGTCTGCTTCTCCCGATGACCTCTCTCCTCTCATGCTCTCTCATTCTTTCTCTCAAATAAATAAATAAATAAAATCTTAAACAAAACAAAAACTATACCCTTATGCAGACTTTACAAAAAAAAAAAAAAAAGACAAAATATCTTGGACCTGATAACAAATGTGTCCAGAGGCTTCTTTGTCCAGAGGTTGCTACCCTCCCCAGGATTAAGACAACATCTGGAAAGCATTCAATGGCACCTACATTGCCGAAAATATGTAATGAGCTGCTCAATATGCTGAATTCAATTAAATATAAGAACAATGTTGCCATATTTATTCTGATGAGACTCTCACACCGTCAGACGTGAAGGGGACTAGAGGTCATACTGACCGCACACTCACCTCCACATTTTCTGCTTTATAAATGGCCACTACTGGCATGGTCCCAAGCCAGAGTTTCAGTAGTGGCTGGTGTTGGTAATTCTTGGTATAATGAATGATCTGCTGAAAAAATTCTGGGAGAAAATATTTAATTTTCAGTGAGTTTCTTGTGTCTTTTGGGTTCGGGTTTTTTTGTTGTTGTTGTTAATCTGTTTACTTTGGGCAAGTCACTTAATATTTCCCACATCTCTCCCATCTTCAAGGTAAACCACACAGTTTCTATTAAGTGATATAATGATTGCATGGTGAAGGTAATTTAATTATGATAACAACCAAGAAACGTGCACCTCCAAAGGACCCAATCCCTACTCTGAAGGAGCTTCTAGGCATGGGAGATGGTGACTTCTGTAGCACCAGAGAAAATGAAATGGTTGCTAAAATCCAAGTTACTGTCTGAGGAGTTACTGATTCTCATGGGGAGGACTGAAAAAATTTCATGACGGAGATGGCATTTGAGCATTAAAAAATGAGTTGTATTTTTATAGGCAGAAAAGGGGGTAGTAGGGGGTAGAAGCAGAATGTAAGCCAAGCAGCAGAAACAGCAGAGCGGAAGTGCAGAGGTCTGGAAATTCCCTGAAAGTGCAGCCAAAGCCTAACTTGGGGAGATACCATTGGAAGAGGAGACTGGAGCATTGGAGGCTTTGATTTTCTTGTATAAGCTCTGAGGAGTAACTGGAAGTTTCTGATGAGGACTACTATGACTGGAGTCATATTTTAGGACAGCAACACTAATGTGGTAAGATCTGTGAATCACCTGGGGCCACTGAAAGCTTCTGGGGGTGGGGAAAAGGCTGGGATTCAATGCTGCCAGGGTTAGGGACATTGGCTGTGCAGTACAGTGGGTCCTTGCATTAGGTGTGGGGAAATGGTGATCGTCAATCCCAACTAGCATCGAAGGAGTGTAGAAAACTTGGGAGTCAACACTTTTCCATGTTGCAATCCATGAGGCCCTTGTCTGGGGGAATGCAGTATGGCATTATAAGAGGTCAAGCCATGACAAAATTCTCTGTTGAGTGTTTTCGTGAGTATCATCTGGGTAGAAACAAATGACAGTAGCCAGGGACTAAAGAATTAAGATACAGGGTCCATACCTCAGAGAAAAGAGAAAAGGTTAGACATGCTTTCGGAACACGAGTCAAACAAGATGAGGTTAAGGGAGGATTTGAGTCCTAGCTGGGGAACTGATCACATGTCAGGAAACGGGCAGAAACCTCTTTACACTGCTGGGAAAATCTAGGTAGGGAGGAGTAGTGGTGGGGCAGGCTAATTGGTAGGCATATGGGGATTCTGGGCTGCTTCTGGGCAAAGGGAATGTCTGATTGACAATAGCAAGGCTAATTCCAACCCCACTGTGAGGCTACGAATATGGTCCTTAAGATTTTGACAGAGCTGTTTTGACATGGGAATTTGGGCACCAAGGACAAATGGACAAACAAACCATTCAATTTTCTGGCTCTTTACCAATGCCAATAAATGTGAGCATGCTCAGCCCATCTTTACTACTTATTCACCTGTAAGCTTCACCCATTCCCAGGCTTCAGGGCAAGCTGTACAAAATGCAGTGGGAGAGGAGCTAAGGCTCACAGATGCCCATTGCATATGATGCTAAATAAACACTAATGATTTTTTTTAAGTGTTTGTAGATTTCCGCACATAAAACTTAGTAATAGTTATCCCTAAATAACTAATATCCATTAAGTCGTGTTCCTTTACCGCAGCAAGTTATTACATGTCAGACCTAGTGTTAGGGTTTTTGATGCATTGTTTTTTCTGCCTCACCATAGTTAGACGAAAGGCACTATTATTACTGTCCCAGTGGGGGAAATTATGCACTGCTAAGTAACTTGCCCAATATCACAGAGTTGGTATATTATAGAATCTGGCTTTGTACTTAAGGCAGTGAGACCATACAAGGTGCCATCTTAACCATTGCACCATATTGCTTGAAAATGTCTCCTGGTCCAAACAGTTGTCAAAATTTCTGTGAAAAGAGCTGGGTCAAATCAACAGTGTCAAAAGACCATGCTTTGTGATAATAACTTCCTACCTTGGCCTGATCTGACAGAGGAGACAGGGAAGTGTGAGCCTGTGGTTTCAAAGTATCGGGTCCAATATCAGAGAACTGTTGGGAGAGGCAGGTGTTGACATAATGAACTACAGAGCAAGAGTTTGGTTTGCAAGGCCAACGAAAAGCCAACTGCAGAGCTCCAGGTGAGATTACTGAGGCCAGCACTGAGGCCAGAACTGTGGCCACAGATCCAAAGCACAGCCTCCTGCCCAAGAGACAAGGTCACTGAGAACAGAGAATGTATCTTAGAATGATATGACATCAACCACTTTGTTTAGCTCCATGTTGGGGACAAGGAGGGGCTCCAAGTTTGATGGACACTTAAGGACCTTACTCTAACCAACTGCTAGACAGTGATCTAGAAACAGCATGCATTAAATTTAGTCGTTAAGATAATTCTGTCATACAGTGACTTTTACAAGTAAAGAATAAAAAGAATAAAAAAAAAAACCCAAACCTTCTAACTTAGCTTTAATATTTGCTTTATATATTTTGGTGCTTGTCGGTTGGGGGATATATATATATATATATATTTACATTTACAAATGCTCTATCTTCTTGTTGGGTTGACCCCTCTGTCATTATGGAATACCCTCTTGGTCTTTCATTACAATCTTTGTTTTAAAGTCTATTTTGTCTGGCATAAGTATAGCGTTCCAGCTTTCTCTTGGGTTTCCATTTGCATGAAACATCTTTTTCTACCCCTTTACGTTCAGTCTGTGTGTGTCCTTATGTCTAAAGTGAGTCTCTTACATGCAGCATATAGGTGGGTCTTGTTTTTCTATTCATTCAGCCACATCATGTCTTTTGATTGGAGAATTCAGTCCATTTGTGTTTAAAGTAATTACTGATATTGCCATTTTGTTCAGTGTTTTCTGGCTGATGTAGTTCTTCTCTGTTCCTTTTTCTTCTCTTGCTCTCCTCCTTTTAGAGAGTTTGAAACAACTTCTCAAATTTAAACAACTTGGTAGCAAAGTTGGAAACTGAGCAGAGCTTTGTCTGATGCCAACATCCAGTACTTGCTGGATTAAAAAGTCCCTTTGTAAAAGCCAGTATATTGTCACTCTCTTCACTCAGAAAGTAACTCCAAGTAGAATTACCTTAAATATTCTAATCAACTAACTCTCCATGTATTTTGAAACACGTCTCATTCACTGGAGATTTCCATTCTTAGAAAAATTTCCCAAAAGAATATGATGAGATTTTTAAAGCACGTTATTTTTTATTGGGGGTGGGAAGTTAATATTTCTACACAATTATTTTTTCATGCTGTAAAGCCTCGGGGTAGAAGGAGAGATTAGCTCTGCTTTTAGTATTAACCAAGACAATTTTTACAAACATGGTTTTCATATATCTAAACACATTCTTCAATCTCTTGCAACATTAGTCACATTGATGTTTAGGTGGTGAAAAGTTAACTTGGATTTCTTCTGCCTGGAAACATTTTCAATATTTTGATAAACACTCCTCCATGAGGCCTTACTTATTTCTGTGAAGTTGAAATGACAGCATTTGGGGGGTGGGTGGGGGACAGAGCTGGAAAACAATCCTTCAAGATTTGGAGTTAATGTTCAACTTGTAAAACTGTTATTTACAATTAATCTGAAGTGAAACTGGGTTGTGGTCCTAGGCTTATTTTAGATCACTTCATTTTAGGAAAAAAATTTCAGCTCAACTTATACAGCCATTAAAATGAAGTGCTAAGATCTAATTCACTGTCCCCGAGGGGAAACTGTAAATATACCAAGTACTTTTGAAAGCTTTCTAACTTAAAGTGTTGTGTTTTTATTTTTATTTTTCTCATCAACAAAGCATAAATCAATCTCTTCAAAAAGCTATCGGTAGAAAACCCAGAAGCCCCTGCCCTCACAGTTTACTGTTATTATGTAACCTCCTTAAAAGAACTAAAATAAGAAGGTAAAGAAAGAAAGATTTGTGGTCAAGTCTCGTGATGTGGGGAGGGAGGAAAGTCTCAAACCAGTCTCCAGTCCCTGATTTTCCGGAGGGCGGTGGGTGGGTGGAGGATGATCGTACCGTTTGGAGGTACTCGCCACAGTCCCAGGGAAGTTTCTGCCCTTAAGGTTTTAACAGCCCAGAGCCAAGACAGGCAGTGTTTTGAGACTGGAGTAGTTACGAGTGGAAAAGAAGCGCGGGAGGACAGGGTTTTAGAAATACTGCGTCCTAGCCTGTACATAAAGAAAGGGGAGCCCAGACAATTTTATCAGGTGTCACAGGGCAAACTGGATAGAACTGGGAATCCCCTCTCTAGCGGTGACAGACCCTTCTTTCCCCTAACAAGCCAGCCCCTCCAGTAGAGGTGGTCTCGGCCGCCGAGAAGGCGGGCGCGCGGGGAGCAGGCGCGGAGCCGGCAGAGGCCCGGCGGAGCTCCTGCGCCCTGGGGCTTCCTGCTAGTGGGTCCCGCAGGCAAGGAGCCCCATGGCCCCCGCGTGTGGGTGCGTCCGGCCTGGGCGCGGTCCCTTACCTCTCCCGTTCGACTTCATCATCAGCGAGTGTCCCACCAACGGGAAGGCGCCGGGTATCGTGGGGAGGGGCCTCATCTGCTGCCATTTCCGCGCGTAGCTCGTCAGCATCTGCAGAAGGTTCAGGATCAGGGTGGCGCCCGCCACCGAGAAGGCGCCCATCGCGCCCCAGATCAGCAGCTTCTGCCCCCAGTGCACCAGCCACAGCGCCAGCATCGCGCCCGGAGTCGGCTCCGCAGAGGCACAGAGACTGCATATAGCGCAGAGGCGGGGCATTGGACCCGCCCCCTGGAGTTCAAGTGCACGGTCCTGGGAGGAGTTCCGGGACGCCGCAGGGATGCCAGCGCTCCCCGAAGGGGAAGAGGTGGCGCCCAGCCGGTTCACTTCTCCCTCCTCCTCCCCCCCACGGAGGCCAGGCCTGCGCCTGGCCTCCCTGAAACGGGGACCCGGAGACCGAGGCTTCCCGCTGCAGGGGCCGCCCTGGGCCTCGGGATGAGGCTCGCAGAAAAGCACCGCAGGGGTTGTTAATTGTGCTCCGCAAACACCTCGGTAATGACCACGGGCCTCTTTATCTGGTTAAGCAGAAACCGAAAGACCGGAAAACGGCTTCGGGGTTCCATAGCGTGTTGCTGAACGTAGATAAAGGCATTTAAGTGAAGTGGGAGGAGAATGTGGGTGAAATTTAAGGCAGCCGCGTGTGGCCAGGGTGAGCTGAGTTTTGGGTTTGAGGTCCCCGCTGCTGGTCACAGCACTCCAGCCAGAGACAGCCATAGTTTAAAAATTGAAATAAAGAGGCATCTGGTTTGAAACCCAGCCTTTGGAGCTGCCCTCCCCCGCCCCGCCCCAGGGGGTCTTTAACCTTATGCTTCCCTGCACAACCCTGCAGTGTTCTACTGTCAGGACTGGCTGCCCTCCCCCAAGGTGGTGCCCAGCTTCAGCTCGGAGCACCGTCTACGTGATTTAGGGGAGTGTTAGGGACAACAACCTCAGGAGCACCGGTTTTCAGTTTGTATCACATGCCTGATTGAGACACGGGAAAGCTGGTTTGCTGTGATCCAAATATTTCCCCAGAGATCCTTGGGACCATAAAGCCAGCACCCAAAAGCACAAGTCAGGGGGGAGGTCAAGGCCTTTGAAAGAAGCAGAAGTAAGAGAAGCTGGGAAAGGAGGGTTTGGTAAAGAGACAGTAGTTATGACGTAATCTCAAAAGGGAGAGAGACTAACCACTGAGCTGCAGAAGGAAAAGGACAGTGACTAGGAGGCTGAATTGTGCCCCCAGAGCTGTGTTCCTTAACTACCAAGTTCCCTCTCTTCCTCAGTCCTGCCTTAACCTTAGAAATAAAGCTATCATAGGGGCGCCTGGGTGGCTCAGTGGGTTAAGCCTCTGCCTTCCCTCAGGTCATGATCCCAGGGTCCTGGGATTGAGCCCCACATCGGGCTCTCTGCTCGACAGAGAGCCTGCTTCCTCACCTCTCTGTCTGCTTGCGATCTCTCTCTCTGTCAAACAAATAAATAAAATCTTTAAAAGAAATAAAGCTGTCAGTTATTTTACCAGCGAAATGGGTGTGTTTGGGAGTAGCAAAGAACTGCAATTTGAGGTATACGAAAGACAGAAAAACCATAAACAAGCCCAGAGAAGAAAAAAAAAACAAAAAAACAACGTTGTTTTACAGAGGAAAGAGGGAATTGGCGGCACGTTAGAAGCAAAAAGTCCACTGGCTAATGTGGGAGTTCCAAGTGCAGTGGCTTTTCATGGGCTGAACTGTGACCGTCTCTCATTGGCTGTGCCGTTGCCAGGGGAGGAGAAAAACTTTCCTCCCTCTCTCCTGCGGTGGTAAAGTGGCATCACTTCCAAGTACCTCTCTCGACTTCGGGTCTGCAGTCGAGGAAGAATGGTGGGATGTGAGAGCTCCCCCTGCTGGCCTCCCACTCCATTTCAGATGAGGTTTCCCTTTATTAATTTGCAAAGGGCCTGGGCTGGGAGTGCGCCCCTCTCCTGGAAGCCGGGCCCTGAACTATGGCAAATGGGCAAGCAAAAAGGTTAAACTGAAAAGTGCTCTGGAGTCCTACTTTGCTTAGCTAGATTAGTTTTATCTCCAGCTATTGTATAGGTTTCACACAACCATTTACAGGGCCTCTTTGAAATAGAGAGAAACACTGGCTAAGGCTTTTCTCCAACTGATTTTTTTTTAAAGTCATCTGTAAGTACCAATGTGGAAAGAGGCTCTCCATATACTAAGTAGAAAACTAATAATAAAACAGGTTGCAGAACTGAATAGATAATGCCATGTCATCTCTGGGAGAAAAAGTTTTTTCTCTACAGCAAGACTAATGTTTGGAACAAAAAATACCAATCCTACGCAGTGGGAATGGAGAAGAACTTAAACTATGAGTTGTCTTTTGTCTTTCTGTCTTTTACTTCTGTATTCTTGTCTTTTACTCACTTCTATATTGTTTAATCACGTTAAGACCTTAAGAAAATGTATTTACTTAACCTCTTTATGTGTACCTCATGATTTTTATTTTCTTTCTCTCTAAAGGGTTGAGTTCCCATGTCCTTCTAGATCGATTCCCCTGCTCCCCTTTATAGAAAAATCTATCAAAAGACTAGCCATGCCTGTTGGCTTCAATTCCTCTCCTCATACTCTCTCCTGAACCCTCTGCAGTCAGGGTTTGCCCATTTTTGTCCATTCCACAAAGATCTTGTCAACGTCTCAGGTATCTTCCCTGTGGTTAAGTCTTTAAATCATTTCTCCGCCCTTATCAACATCATTCAATATATTTGAGTCCCTGTCACCTCCTCGGAAAACCTTTTCCCCCCACTTGACTTTGAGCGTTCCACATTCTTAATGTTTGTTCTCCCTCATGAGTCATTCCATCTCACTCGGCTTGGCTAATTTCTCATCACATCCCATTCCTCTAGATGTTAAGAGGCCCAGGGCCCAGAACTCTTGTTTTCCCTGCATATCTACACTTAGTTTCTTGGTTACGTCATCCACTTTGGCACTCAAATACCATCTAGATGTTGACAGTTGCCAAATACATCCCTCCAGTCTGTACTTCTTCTCTAAACCCATGTCCAGTTAACCAAATGTCTCAACATCCCCCCTTAGGCATCTAATAGGCATCTCTCTCTTTAAAAAAAAAAGAAGATTTATTTATTTATTTATTTATTTGAGAGAGAGAGAGAATGAACAGGGGGTGGGGGGTAGAGGGAGAAGGAGAAGCAGACTCCCCCGTGAGCAGGAAGCCTGATGTGGGACTAGCTCCCAAGACCCTGGGATCATGACCTGAGCTGAAGGCAGATGCTCAACTGACTGAGCCACCCAGGTGTCCCTCTAATGGGCATCTCAAACATGACATGACACAGCATGCTCCCTAGTGTTAAGCCAAAGCCTAGGAATCAATCTGGATTCCTTTCTCCACATTCAATGCAATGGCAAATCCTATTGGCTCAAATTTCAAAACATCTCCAATAGTGCTTGGCTCCTCACCAGCTGTGCTACTATCTTCTGATCCAGAACATCCTCGGGGGTCAGATTACATCACTCCTCCTGGAAACTCTCCAGTGGCTGCCTATTTCAGATAATTTACCATTTCAAAAAGGATCTTAATCATTTGGCTCCCAATTACTGCACCCATCTCATCTCCTATGATACAGCCCCTTGCTAATTCCAAGCCATGTCCCACTGGTCTCTCTTCTGTTCTTCAAACCTCCAGGTATGCTCCTGTTTTAGGCATGTGTGTTTTTTCCTGTCTAGAATGCTTTTCTTGATTTGTTTATAATCATCCCCCTTTGCCAGAATTGAAGTTCTATTAGGGCAAAGACTTTGGGCTTTGTCTTGTTCAGTCCAATGCTCAGAACAGAATTTGACACAAAGAAGGTGCTTGGTGAATATTCGGTGAAATAATAAATCCATGATTATCACACAGGAATGTCATCTCCTGGGGGGGGGGGGAGCTTAAATTGGGGTATTCATAAATGAGATAAACCCTCCCAAACACATATAGTTATGTATTTTTAATTCACTGGGAAAAGTATGCTATCCAGTTAGAAATAAGTGAGTGAATAACATGTGTTTTAGAAACTGGAGAGGTACACAAGTTATATAAATATTGGGAAAGGAAAGATGTCTTTTTTTTTTTTTTAAAGAGGAATCATCTTTTTTTTTTTTTTTTAAAGATTTTATTTATTTGATAGAGAGAGAGAGATCACAAGTAGGCAGAGAGGCAGGCAGAGACAGAGGGGGAAGCAGGCTCCCTACTGAGCAGAGAGCCCGATTCAGGGCTGGATCCCAGGACCCTGAGATCATAACCTGAGCCGAAGGCAGAGGCTTAATCCACTGAGCCACCCAGGCGCCCCGGAAAGACGTCTTATGAGTGTAATGAAGTCTTGAAAAATTTTCCAGCTTTAATTAAAAATTAAAGAGCTAAAATTCCTGAGAAATGATCTGTGGTCATAATGAAGCAGGGACAATAAAAATATAATACCCACATATTTTATGACATTATAAAAATGTACCTCTTAGTTGGCATAGAAATTCCGTTCTAGTTCAGAATAACATCAGTATGGATACTAATGTTGGTATAAAATTTATAAAATTTTGCAGTTTTCTATGGTATTTTACATCTTTTTATTATTTTATTAAAAAATTGTATTTATCTGTCAGCAAGCAAAAGAGAACACAAGCAACGGGGAGAGGGAGAGGGAGAGGGAGAGGGAGAAGTAGGCTCCCTATTGAGCAGGGAGCCTGATGTGGGGCTCGATCCCAGCACCCTGGGATCATGACGTGAGCTGAAGGCAGCCACTTAACTGACTAAGCCATCCAGGCGTCCCTGTTTTTATATTATTTTAAAATTCCTTCATTCCTTCCTTGGTTTTGGGTGAATTAACAGACATTTCCATTAATGCAGTTATTAACCTTCATTTAAAAATTGATCTCAGGAGTTATTCACTTTGCCTTTTTCAATTTTTAACAGAGAAATTCTAAGACTCATTTATCAAGGTAGATTATTATGAAAACACTGCCCCAGTTTTTCCCAAATCAGTTCAGAAAGCACCATCCTTGATACAAACATTATTTACTAACCTCTAAGGTTCACTTAACCAATATATAAAATGTTATCTTTTAATACAGGTGTAAAAATATATGCTATACACAAGTCTTTTTAAATTCAGTGGCAGAGTCAAGTCTCTGCTATTTCTAAGATTGTATTTTATCCTACTGAAATGTTTAGAAGATATGAATCATGATCGCTGCACTGGGTTCTATTTC